CACAGAAAACTAATGTAATACATAAGCAAAATGTCAGTGTGCTGAGACAGGAAAGATGAATTCTGCAGAGATTCAGAAGACTTCACAGAGGAGGTGGCATCTGTACTCACATAGGGAGAGTGAGGAGGATGTAAACAGGGAGGCATGGAAAGATGAGCTGCCACCTCTTGCTTGATTGACCCCTTCATCTCCAAACCCTGGGACTCAGAGGACGCCACAAGGACACGAATTCCAGCCTCCCCAAGCCCTCCCTGCCCTCCTGCCCAAAGGTGCCCTGGAGAATTTGATCAAAGCTGGCAGATCCCAGGCCCTGCCCCAAGGCACCTTTAGGTAGAGGAGAACTAAAACAATCTTGTTTGGTTCCTTTTTCAAAAATAACTATCTTCTGATTATGTGAGCAGCATATGTTCATTATGAATCATTTAAAAAATATAGATTATTTATATTTTTATTTATTTTTAAGATTTTTATTAAAATATAGCAAACATACAATATTATATTAGTTTCAGCTGTACACCGTAATTATTCAACATTTATATACCTAAAAAAGTGATCACCATGATAATCCTAGCAACCATCTGAAACCATACTGTGCTATCACAATATTATTGACTATATTCCCTATGCTGTACATTACATCCCCATGACTTATTTGTTTTATACCTGGAAATTTAAACCATTTATTGCCTTTCACGTTTCCCCTCTTTTCAATTTTTCAGTTACAGTTGACATTCAATATTATTTTATATTAATTTCAGGGGTACAGCATATGGTTAGACATTTATATAATTTAAGAAGTGATCTCCCTAACTAGTCTAGTACCCACCTGGCACTATACATAGTTTTTACCATATTATTGACTATATTCCCTATGTTTTACTTTATATCACTGTCACTATTTTGTAACTACCAATTTGTACTTCTTAATCACTTCACCTTCTTTACCTTGCTCTCCAACCCCCCTTCCATCTATCACCTCGATAAATCTAGTACCTATCTGACACCATACATATTTGTCACAATATTATTGACTATTTCTTATGCTATAAATTATATCTCTATCACTAATGTGTAACAACTGATTTGTACTTCTTTTTTTTTAAAGATTGTATTGGGGAATTGTGGAAGGGGAACAGCCAAGTTGTTGTCTTTCAATCTTAGCTGTGGAGGGCGCAGCTAGCTCAGCTCCAAGTCCAGTCACCATCCAGCAGCCAATGAGGAGCTGTGTTTAATCTTAGTTGTGGATGGGCATAGCTCACCATCCCATGTGGGGGTAGAATAGGCAACCTTGTTGTTAAGAGTACGTGCTCTCATCAGTTGAGCCATCCTGCCACCTGTTGGCAGCTCAGCAGCAGCTCAGCTTGGGCGCAGCTCACTGACCCATGTGGGAATTGAACTGGTGACCCTGTTGCTCAGAGCTCGCACTCTTAACCAACTGAGCCACTCAGCCAGACCCCTCAATTTGTACTTCTTAATTCCTTCCCCTTCTTGACACACCCCACCCCCTTCCCATTTGGCAATCATCAAAATGTTCACTATATCTATGAGTTTGTTTCTGTTTATTTTGTTCTTTAGATTCTACATATAAGTGAAATCACATTACATCTGTCTTTCTGTCTGACATACTCCACTCAGCACAATATCCTCCAGGTCCATCCAAGCTGCTAGAGATGGCAAGAGCCCATTCCCTTCCACGGTAGAGCAATATTCCATTGTGTATATGTACCATCTCCTCTTCATCCATTCATCCATTGACAGACACCAGTCTGCCTCTACATCTTGGCCATTGCAAACAATGCTGCAATGAACATATGGATGCACACACACCCTCGAAATAGGATTTTGGGTTTCTTTGGATAAATACCCAGAAGTGGGATTACTGGGTCTTTCTTTGTCACTTGTAATAGACTTTGTTTAAAAGTTTATTTTGTCTATTATAAGTATTGCTATCCCAGTTTGTTTTTTTCCATTTTCATGAAATATTTTTTCCATCTCTTTACTTTCAGACTGTGTGTGTCTTTTGATCTAAAGTGAGTCACTTGTAGGTAGCATATTGTAAGGGTTTTGTTTTCTTATCCACTCACCCTCCCTATCTTTTGATTAGAGTATTTAATCCATTTATAATACATTGAAAGTAATTTTTGGTAGATATGTAGTTTTGCCATTTTATTATTCATATTTTTAATCTTCTCCCCCCCCAATCTTAAAGAAGCCCCTCTAACATTTCTTGTAATACTATTTTGGTGGTGATGAATTCCTTTAGCTTTTATTGTCTGGGAAGCTCTTTAACTATCTTTCAATTCTAGATGATAGCTTTGTTGGGTAGAGTAATCTTGGTTGTAGGTCCTTTTTTTTCATAGTTTGAATATTTCATGCAAATCCCTTCTGGCCTGCAAAGTTTCTATTGAGAAATCAGTTGACAGTCTTATGGAAGCTCCCTTCACTTACAAACTTTGGCCAGAACCACAACATGTGGCCACTCCTAGCTGCAAGAGAGGCTAGGAAAACAATTTTCTTGCTTTTCAAGCTTCTTTTTAGTAGAGGCAGGCAACAGGACAGGGAGTTGGGAATGAGGTTGGATCTAGTACTGTTTTTTGTTTGTTTTAATTTGGGAATTGGGGGATGGGAACAGTGCTGGGGAATTGGGGGAAAGAGAACAGACAAGTTGCTGTCCTTTTGTTCTTCAGTCTAGTTGTGGAGGACGTTGCTTCACTGGCCCAAGTTGGCACCATCATTGCGCTCTTCCCGGGCGAGGCAGATCAGTTGCCGGCTTCTGGATGGCCACTCATGGCGGCTGCTGGCCTCTCATGCTGGCTGCTGGCTACTCACGGTAGCCCATGGCAACCCACTGCAGCAGTGGCTGCAGCCAACGCAGTCGCCAGAGACTCATGGCAGCCCAGCTCCAGGTCGAGCTGTTGTTCAGCATCTTAGCTGTAGAGGGCAGTGTCACTGGCCCTCATATGTGGGATCCGAACCGGGGCCCTCTGGCGTCCCAAGCCAGCTCTTAACCAACACGCTACTCGGCCGGCCCGGATCTAACACTGTTTTAATGAAGGTCTCTACCTTCTCTAGTGTCTGACCACAGCTGGCAGATGTCCTGCATGAGACAGGTGGACGTCTGTCCTCACACAGTCCAGGGCCATGGTGAAAGGGGCTAAAGGGACAAGAGACATGATTGGCTGTCATCTAGGGACACTGCTGTGCCCAAGATGCAGTATAACTGCACCTGGATTCTAAAATCAACAGCATGACAGCCACTGTAACAGATTAAAAATAATAAAGTGATAGCTAATATGGGGCACTTACTCTATGCCAGACCCTGCTCTAAATGCTTTTCATATATTAATTTTAATTCACCTAACCTTAACAGCTCTATCAGGTGGGCACCAAATTCTCCATTTTAAGGATGAGGAAACCGTGACCCAGAGAGGTTAATGTACTTGCTCAAGGTCACCCAGCCAGTAGTGTGAGCAAAAAATAAACTTGTGGTGCTTTAAGCCACTGAGATTTTAGAGTGGTTTTTCACTATAGTATAACCTGGCCAACTCATATGCATGTACTCTGATATCTAATATATGTTACATATAATATAGGTTATATAACATATTTATATAAATTAATTTATATGTAAATATATATTTATATGTCATTATATATTTATATTATGCAATTTATGTAAATATAAGTACATTTATGTACATACACATGTATATAAAACTCTTCCTTAGTTTTCACTTGGAAGAAAAAGTGCTTTGCAGCCTGGAGTAAAGAAGCCTGTCCTGCAGCCTTGGAGGGACCAGCCATGCTATTGGGGCTCCTGAGAGGAGCTCGGTAAGTCTGTGCTGCTAGAAAGACTCATGGCATTTTGTGCAGTATTTAAAATTGCACAGTCTTTGTATTAGTCAGGAAAGGGTAGATAAGCTGCAGTAACACCCCCACACACAGAGGCACCCCTTCAACTATAAAAGACACGTTTGTGCTAGTGTATCAGTGTACAACCTGAACACATGTTCAAGTGCCTGCTGGGAAAGCAGAAATATGGACAGTGGTTTCCTCTGGCCAAAGTAGGGGACCGGGCATGGTCCACATGTAAAGGAGGAAGTGGAAATCAGGAAAAGAGGGAGGGTGAGTGAGTACTGGCTCTGGGCTTTCCCAGTATCATCCAGCTTAAGTGCCCCTAGATGTTGGCTCCATAAATAAGCCAGCCTTAAAGTCTATGGCAGGAGAACATTCTACTATAGGTCAAGAAAGCTGTTGCTGCATAGGTGGGCCCCTAGGCTTGGCCTGGGAGCATTCCAGGACCAGCGGGTAGCAGCTCACCTATGCACATGTGTGCCAGCACTCTCACTCACACACACTCCAGGCCACTAGGCACACACTCAATGTCCCCTATTCCCATGCCCCGGGGAGGTGATGGTGTCAGGTTCAGAATCAGATGCAGGGCTGAATTCAAGCCTCCCAGGATGGGAAAGATGTAATCTCTGGGAATATGAGAATGTGTTCAGAACAGGACCAGTGATTGTGAGTATGTATGGCTGTGTGTACTTGTGCAGGTTTATGTAGAAGAGAGTTCCCTCTGGCTGCTCAAGACTCGTCTTAGAAGCCCACACACTCTGCATCACCCAGGTGCTCTCATATGTAAACTATCCATGGTGTGATTAGAACCCCTCGGTTGTTATGGCCAAGTGCAGTGCACAGCCTGGATGACTGTACACAGCATCCCTGTGAAGAGCCCACAGCTCGCAACAGCTCTGGAAGAGGAACCATCTCTATCTCATATGTACCTCCATTCTGTGTCTGAGAGAGGAACCAAAAATGTTGAGAACAGGAGAAGAAGGGGGTAGAGGTCACAGAATCAGAACAGCTGTTGGCTGGCCACCCACTCTGTCCTGGTAAGAAGCGATAAGGAGGCTACAAACTGGGTAATAAAATCCTCTCATCTATTGGCTCAAGGCTGTAATCCTGGGCCTGTGCTCCTCTAAGCTTTGTTCTATTTTCATTCCTCTTTCCCAGGGAGCAGTCCCATTAGCTGCAAGGATTTAGCGAGGACTTGTAACACTGGTTCTCTGTCATCCCCTGGATTTGGGTGGAGGCTTGCATAACCTTCATCGCCTTCTCCCTTCTGCTTACCTCTTCCTGACATTTCCCTGCACTGGTTCATCAGGCCCTTTCTTGCTCAGATCTGGAGAACTTGGGCCCGTGGGTGAGGAGGGCCCAGTTCTAGAAAGCCAAGCCACCTTTGTGCAGGGAACAGTAGAGCACAGGACTTGTCTATCTTGGGCGTCAGCTTTCCGTGGGCCTGGACAATGGGCAATGTGATGGAGGGTAAGTCGGTGGAGGAGCTAAGCAGCACCGAGTGCCACCAGTGGTACAAGAAGTTCATGACCGAGTGCCCCTCTGGCCAGCTCACCCTCTATGAATTCCGTCAGATCTTTGGCCTCAAGAACCTGAGCCAATCGACCAGCCAGTATGTGGAGCAGATGTTTGAGACCTTTGACTTCAACAAAGTGAGCAGGGGTCTGGTGGGGAGCGCTGGAGGGACACATGGGGAGACCTGACCAGCGTGGGGGTGAGGAGGAGCAAATGTGATAATAGCAGTGTCTGCTGGTGGAGTGACTTCATTTATACAGCCCTTTGTTTGTCTGGGAGGTTGAATGTCGACATTAGGGATTCAATTGATCTCATGTTCATTGAGCGCCCACTGTGAATCAGGCACTGCTGGCTCAGAATGACTCAGACCCCATCCCTGCCCTCACTCTCCAGGGAAAGAAAGAGAGGTCCACAGTGAGCGGACCCTCTGCCTCTCCTCCACGCACATCTAAGTTTACTCCAGAGCAGGAGTGAACGCTTAGAAGACAGTCATTGAGCACCTGCTAAGTGCTTGACACTGTAAGTTGTGCTTTTGCACAGGCCCTTAGCTGCTCGCAGAAGCAGGAGTGGTGAGTGAAGAGCAGGGTGAGGGGGCTCCAGCCCGGGTTGGTCTGGGATGAGCAGGCCCGTATGACTTGGGTCATCCACCATGCTCTATGGATACTAGACCTGGGCATCGGCAGGGTGGCCTGGTCACTGGGGAATCCAAGCTACTCCAACTCCAAAATACCCAGTGACCTCAGTTCACCTTTTCTCAAGTGGGTGGAAAGGTCTACACAGGGGTCAAAATGTATGTCTCCCCAGGTAATCACCTGGACGCATTGGGTGAGGACTTCTAGATAAGCTAGAAGAGACGCTGAGAGAGGAGTTAGCCATCGTAAATTTGGGCCCTTACTTTTCATCACCTGGGAAACCTTGAGCCCATCCTCTCCCCCCAGCCTCCACTTATTCACCATGGATGCATCTGCCATGGATGTCTGGAGCGTTAGTTAAGATGTTTGTTGGTTTTCAATAGCAAACCTTCCATTGATTGGGAACAATTCAGTCAAGGTGAAGTGGTGGAAGAACACTGGCTGATCCCCTCCCAGCTGGCGCTCACTCCAAAGGCGAAGATGTCATGATGCACGGTCACGTGTCCACCGCAAGCCGGCAGGGGGCTGCCCAGAGCTTTCCAGACTCCCCTCACTGCCCAGAGGTCCAAACGCCATCGTAGGCAGGGTTGCTAGGGAAAGCTGGGGCTCAGAAGCTATTTAAAACTTGCTAATATTTGGGGTCAAGGGGCCAAAGCAGATTATAGGCTTAGAGTCCCAGCCTCAAGGGCAGGACCGCAGTGCTAGAGGGCTTTCCTGCAGGGGGCGCAAGAGCGCAGAGTACTGGAGCTGGAGGGAGGGAGACCAGGAGGGATGGCGCCCCCACGCTGGACTCCCCCCCCCAAATCCTCCAGGAGCAGCAATAATTCCTGAACAGGAGCGTCAAAAGCCTCAGTACCTTAGACAGAAATGTACCAAAATAGCTTAGCTTCTCACCTGCTAAGGAAACCCTTTGAATCAAGACACGTTTTCAGAAAGATCCTCTAAAGTCACACATGACACCAGGGAGGGGCAACCCACTGACCTTGGATTAGCCTCACCTGAGTTGTTCATATGCCATCTCTTCAATTTTTGTACAGCACCTGTACTCTCCCAAACCTGACTTCCTCGATTATGCCACACACGTGCCCACCTTAGGGTCTTGGTGCTGCCTGGGACCCTCTTGTTCCAGAATTCTGCTTGGCTCCCACCTTCTCCTGCTACAAGACTCTACTCGAATGTCTCCTTCCCACTGACACCTGCTCTGATCTTGGTTTAAACCCTATTTAGGGGGTACTAGCCTCTACCCCCGCATTCCTAGTCCCCTCCTCCCCCCAAGCCCGTCTCATCTTCTAATACATGATACTGAATAACACTTAGCCACTACGCTTATTGTCTGTCTCCCCTGCTGAAATGTGAGCTCCAATGGGCGGGGATTGTTGTATCCTCAGCACCTAAAACAGTGCCTGGGACACACAGTGGGTGCTTAATAGATATTTGTTATATGAGCGAATGAATATATGAGAAATCAGAGTTTATGGGCTGGTTTTATATTTCATGATTCACATTAAGTTAAATATATATTTATTTAAATGAAGAGCATCTTTATAACATCTAAAGTGCCTCATAGACACCAATGATATAAGTCACACTTGGGGCACCATTGCCTCCACCCATTGTTATGAGTACAGGGCAGTTTAGCAGACTGGATAGGAGATGGCACACAGGACTGGGACGTTTTGAGACAGAGAGGAGTTAAAACAAGGGTGTGCAAACGATGGCTTAGGGGCCAAACTTATAAATAAAGTTTTATTAGAATATACCATACCCATTTGTTTACATATTGTCAAAACTGAAATATTTGCTATCTGGCCCTTTGCAGAAAAAAAATCTGCCAGCTCCTGAGTTAGAAGAGAGTTGTATCCTAGGATACTAGGCAGGATTGGGGAAGAGGGGTATAGCAGTGGGAGTGGGAGTGTGACCTGGGGGACAAGCACGTGCTCTGCTTGCTTCAAAGTTTTGCCTGGTCTTGGCTGTGTCTGGTAGTCACACAGGCGCACCCAAATCAAAGTAAATCTTGTGTAGGATTTAGGAGACCTAGTTTCTGGGCAAAGTTTTGTCGTTTGTTAGCTGTGTAACCTAATCTCTCTCAACTTCAGCTTTTCATCTGAAAATGGGAACAAAAATACCCACCTCCTGGGGCCGGTTGTGAGAATAAATGAGTAAAGCGAATAAAGCACTCAGCACAGGAAGCAAGTTAGTATTGTTATAGTATTACAGTATTATTACTGAATCGAATTCATACCACAGTCTATAAAAGCACATACTGTCATTTCCATTTTAGGGAACTGTGGCTCGAAGAGGTCACGTGACTTGTTCAAGATCATACCTGTCCTAAGAAGTAGCTTAGGTCTTTCTGGCACAAAAACCCATCACTTTTCCATAGCCCCTTTTTAGCCACTTACAAAAAAATTACAAAAGTAATCCAACTCATCGTAAACATTTCCAACAATATAGGAAGGTAAAAATGGAAAGCAAAAATATCCTCACTCTTTGTCCCCTGCCCAGAGGAAACCTCCTTAGCAGTGTCCTTGCCTTCCAGAGCAATGCTGCACGGGGGCCTTGTTCTATTCTGACAACAGTCCTGGGCGGTGGGTTGGGCAAGGGTTGAATGAGCTAAGGTGTGTGCGAAAGCCCTTCAACATGGGGAAGCAACATGTAATTGTTCATTATGATCATGATACCCACTGTGGAGCTCAGAGTGCTTAAGTCCTCACCTCAGGCCAAAGACCAGCACAGAACCAGATTCCAGAGGCCGTCCTGCCCAACTTCTGTCATACCCCTAATAACAGTCTTTTGCACGAGGCTGGCCCTTCCACATGGGCAACGCTGCCTGTTACACAGTTCATACACACCCAAAATCTACCTCTCAGTCACTTTTCCAGTTCCAGAGTCATGGTTGTTAGTGGAGGAACAGGGACTGGACTCCAAGTTCACGTGCTCTGAGTCCACTGTTCCTTTCCTTATGGAGCTCAGCATCTCTGCAAGACACAGGCTTCCCTCTCCTAGCCTCACTCTGGTTGTGCGTGCATGTTGAGGGTGTGATGGGAGCAGGGGGGGCAGCTGGGCAGAGGCAGGCCTGTGCTCCCTGCTTCCCTGACCCCATTGGGAAGGCTGGCAGGGCCAAGCAGAGGGTCAGCCAGCAAGCATTTGCGGGACCCTGGAGAAATATCCTGCAGGAATGTCTTGTGCCACCTTCCCCTATGGCCAACCCCTCCAAGACTCAGTGAGGGCATCGCCTCCCTCAGGAAGCCACCCTAAACCCATCTCCTGCTCTGACCCTAAAGTTGGGCGCTCCTATTCTGTGATTCTATAATGTCCTGTCCAGATGGGTTGTTGCTGAATACACATCGTGATGGCATAGTGATCTCTTTATAATAATAGTAATAGTAGTAATAACAATAGCTAACGTTTACTGAGTGCTTACTATATGCCAGGCAGGGTTGAGTGCTTTACATACATGAACTTATTTAATCCCATGACAATCTAATAGAGGTAGGTACCATTATAATTATTATAGATGAAAAAAATCGAGGGCCAGACACATATTGAGTCCTTTGTCCTAGATCCCACAGTTTTGAGAGGGTAAGACCAGGATTCAAACGTGCACCCTTAACCCTGCATATAGTAGGTGCTCAGTAAAGTTTGAAGAATAAAGGAAAGAATGAGAAAGCCGTTCCTTACCTCCACAACTACCTTTTGCCCTTATCTTTCTTTGAAAAGCTCCTCTACACCACACCCCCATCCTTAGGAATTTGGTTTCTCTCCCTCCCACCTACAAGCACTTCTTGCAACTGGACAGGGCTGAAGTTTGAGAAGCCCAGGAAAGCAGACCAGTGACAGCTAGAACCCAAATGCCTGTGAAGAGATAGCATCAGACATTCATAACCGAGTGGGGGTTAGCTTATCGGATTTGATCAGCAGCCTCTGGGGCAGGCAGGGTGGGCTATGCAGGGCATCCAGGACAGATGTGCAACGGGCATCAAGGGGGAGGGTCACGGGACGGGGCCTGGACTGGGCTTAAGGCGGACTCGCCCCCTCTCAGGACGGTTACATCGACTTCATGGAGTACGTGGCGGCGCTCAGCCTGGTTCTCAAGGGGAAGGTGGAACAGAAGTTGCGCTGGTACTTCAAACTCTACGATGTCGATGGCAACGGATGTATTGACCGTGATGAGCTGCTCACCATCATCCGGGTAACTCCAGGTGCAGAGGGTTGGGCCTGGGGCCTGGGGTGGGGCTGGGGCGGACGCCCAGAGGGATCTGGAGCTGAAAGTCCAGAGTTGGGTCTTGGGTGGAACTTCAATCTCAGAAGGGGACAGGATGGAATTGAGAGGTTGGAAGCTCTGACCCTCACCATGTGCGTGACCGGGCCACGTTCTTTTCCCTCTCTGGGTCTCAGTTTCTTTATCTGTACCTAGAGACTGTGTAAGCTGTTAAGTCCCAGCTCTGCCTCTACTCCCACTGCTGTTGGGAGCCAGAGGAGCTTTCATTGCCTCCACTCCCACCAGTGAGCCTGAATTAGGATGAGTCCTCTCACTTCTTCTCCTTCCCTCCAGGCCATCCGAGCCATTAACCCCTGCAGTGACTCCACCATGAGTGCAGAGGAGTTCACCGATACAGTGTTTTCCAGAATCGATATCAATGGGGATGGTGAGGAGGCCAGGGTTTGGGTGGGGATCACCAGGGGAGGGGTCACCAGGGTGTAGGGCTCCAGCCACAGAACTGGATTTGGGGGATCCTTGGACCAGACTTTGACCTCTGGCTCCTTTGCCTGACCATTCACAGCCACTTCTCCCGACATTGGCCCTGTCCCCCTGGAAAGACTCAGCCCTGGGCCCTGGTATAATGCTACCAGGTAGACATCGCACCCTACTCCCTTCCTCTCTACCAGGGGAATTGTCTCTGGAGGAGTTCATGGAGGGCGTCCAGAAGGACCAGATGCTCCTGGACACACTGACCCGAAGCCTGGACCTTACCAGCATTGTGCGCAGGCTCCAGAACTGCGAGCTAGATGAGGAGAGGGCTGGCGGTGGGGCAGCCGAGGCAGCGGGCTAAGCCCACCACCCAGATGCTTCTGTTGGGGAGGGGGTGTATGGTGGTGCTGGTGTCGCCATTGTTGCTTTAATACTAGATAGAGTCTACTGAATTCAAAGGCGCAGCTCGCCTCTTTGGGGTGCACGGTGGCAGCAGAGGGGCAGGGGTGGGAATCCAGAGCGGGGATGGTGAAGGATGGTATTTGATCTCTCTAGATGACTCAGCTGGTGGTAAGTGCTCCCTGCTGGGGGCACTCCTCAGCATCCTTCTGCCCTCAGGCTCCTCCCTTGCCCCTTCTGGCACCTCCCCCAGCTTTTCCCAGCTTCCTCCGCTGAGCTTCTCCAGTCCCACTTTCTTCTAGACATGGAAGCCCTGAAGCAGAGATGGGCTTTCCAGGAACTCTGATGGAATCTTACAGATCCTGTGGCCGCAGGATTGCAAGGACCCCCAGGACCATCGGAGCCCACCTGTGTGGCTCACACTGATTCGTTCTTCCCATTCAACAAGCATTTATTGAACACCTACTATGTGCTAATGTTAGAGGTCAGATGTGCAAAGAGGACCATTCTCATCCTCAAGGAACTCACAGGCTAAGCATCATTATAATAAAATATGCTAAGAGAAGCTATGAATGGATTCCTGTAGGAGCACAGTGAACTGTGAGCAAGTTGGACTCAGAGACTGCCTCACAGAGGTGATCCTTGACTTTGAACATGAAAGAGGAGTTGGGGGTTGCATGTGGAGAAGAAGGTGATGTGTGTGGGAGGTTGGAGGTACATCCTACATGACGTATGTGTGTTACATGTAGGGACTGTATCATGTGGGGAGGAGCTTTCTTAGCTGTAAATTGGGGGTTTCTCTTAGGACTTACATTTTACCAGTTTTGAAATAATAAGGGGTCATCATGTCCATATTTAGGGAGTATCTCCCAGGGCCCAGTAACAGGAAAACAAACAAACTCCTTCAAGAAGTTACAAGGTTACCAAGGAGACAAAGATGGAATGTTTGGATGACAGTACAGATCTGAATCATGACTGAATGACCAGGCGTGGTGTGTGTGCTCATGTGCACACACACAAACACTCTGGGAGGGTCTGCTTAAATTGGATGTTGGCCAAAAAGTGAAGAGGGTGGAGTGGTACTATAGAAAGTCTTTCTTTATCCCGAGGAAATCCTTATTTATTCAGAAGTGACTGCACAACACCCTCTACTTCCCCTGCTAGACCCTGGGTGATATATGGTGCTGCATGGGTTCCCACAGGTCTGTGACTCATTGCACAAGAACAAGGAGAACCATCCTTGTTCCCGCCTAAATTCCTCTTGCTTCAGTGACACCTGACATTAGTTGGGAAGTGCAGTGGTCTGCTTCAGGGGGGTCTCATTTCCATTCTATGTACACCCCAACTTTAGGAATACCTGTCCAAGAACCTGGGGAGACAGAGGCTGGAGCAGTTCTGCCTGTTTTTACAAAGATACTCTTCCTTCTGGACTTTGAATTTTCACTTCAGCTGGGTGGTGTGGGGGAGTGCAGGGGATAAATAAAAATCCAGGATGGGAAGGAGAAAAAAGGAGAAAGGGGAGTGAAGCCCCAGGTTGCAGAGAGGCCCACTGGGGAGATGAGAGGATGTACTTTGCTCACATCTGTCCTGTCCATCACTTGCACCACCTCAGGCTGGGAAGCCAGCCAGGGCCTGAAGCACATACATGGACAGACAGTGGAGGTCAATGCCAGGGGCAGCCTGGAAAAACAGGAGTGGACGTTTCTGCTCCTTCTCTTGGTGGCTGCCTCTTGGGAAATCCTGAAGGTCAGAGTTGGGAGGGTATCTGGATAGAATAAGGACATTTCCTCAACCTCATTCACATACCACCTTCATGATTCGGGGCATCCCTGTGTCCTACCTGGATTATTACTTAAAAAAAAAAGATTTTATTGGGGAATTGGGGAAGGGGAACAGCCAAGTTGCTATTCTTCAATCTTAGTTGTGGAGGGTGCAGCTAGCTCAGATCCAAGTCCAGTCACCATCTGGCTGCCCATCGGCAGCTCCCAGCTGCTCAGTTCAAGGTGCCGTGTTCAATCTTAGTTGGTGGGCATAGCTCACCATCCCAAACAGGAGTCGAACTGGCAACCTTGTTGTTAGGAGCACATGCTCTCACCAGCTGAGCCATCCTTCCACCTGTTGGCAGCTCAGCGGCAGCCGGTGCTCAGCTCGGGCGCAGCTCACTGGCCCATGTGGGAATCAAACCGGCTATCCTGTTGCTCAGAGTTTGCACTCTTAACCAATTGAGCTGCTCGGCTGGCCCAGATTTTTTTTTTTTTAAGATTTTTATTGGGGAATTGGGGGAATGGGAACAGACAAGTTGCTGTCTTCTTGTTCTTTAGTCTAGTTGTGGAGGACGCTGCTTCACTGGCCCAAGTTGGCACCATCATTGCGCTCTTCCCAGGCGAGGCAGATCAGTCGCCGGCTTCTGGACAGCC